CCCAGGGTGGCAATGAGCATTCCCAGGGTGGCAATGAGCATTCCCAGGGTGGCAATGAGCATTCCCAGGGTTGAGTGAGCTGCCTCATCCATAGCTGGGGGTGTTCATTGTGCCCAGCTCAGCCCCCCAGTGCAGCCCTATAAAAAACCTCTCCTTTAAAATGACTTTTTCCCCATCTTCCCACACTCACTGGCAACACAGCCTAATGATCTTCCCATCAGAAGGGCTGGGCAGGCCTCAAAAATGAGCTCCCACCACAATGGGAAGCTAAAATACAGTTTGATATGGAAGAAAACATTTTGTCCTGCCAGAGAGGCCACAAAGACTTCCAGGTCAGAAAGTCTTGGAAATGTAGGTGCAGATGGTTGTTTTCCAGCAATGCACACAAAAAGCTCATCTCAACACGGCACAAAGTGCTGCAGCTCACAGAAAATCAAATCAAACCTGTGTAAAACCACTCCTCCCTCAAGCTCTGCTCTCCTAACACGTTTTGGCGCCCACTCAGCAGACAAAGCTTTTGACACATGGAGCTGTAACCGAGCCAAGCTGCGAGCGAAGGAGCAAAGACCACTCAGGGAGAGACAGGAGGCAGCGCCAGCAAGGAATTACCCGCCCCAAGGCAAACCCCAGGCTCCCAGCATCCCCTGGCATGACGCACGGGCAGGGCTTTTTTGCATCCCTCCTTTTGTTAATGATACACTCAGGGTAAATTCTCACTTGGAAATGATTAAGCTGTGAGCCCATTAAGGAGCTATTTCTCACTGCTTTCAGCTGTGCCACCCCACTCGTGATAACAGCAAATTCACAAATGGCAACCTGAATTACACAGCCTTTTTTCTTAATGGATTTTTGAGGAGCAAAGTGTGACCAAGGTACAGGTTCAAGCATTCACACAGGCCCTGCGTGCCCCTTATCTTTTGGGGGCACATACAGCTGTGAGTTTATCTAAAACACCTGCTTTCAGATAGGCTTTTCATTTCTAAAGGCACCCTCCAGGATCAACATCAGCCCAGTTAAAATAATAATAATTTTTTAAAAAAAGCAAATATGCCAGAGTTTGTCTTGAAAACCTTCCAGAAAAACAAAACTCCCTGGCCTAAATCTGAGCTGCAGCTGCAGTGCACATGTGTGGGCAGTGTGGGGTAGCAGCACCACTCCAACCTCCACCAGCAGAGGTGCTCTGACCACACCAAGGTGGTTCTTTCATTCCCCAAGCCCTGGAGGGACCAGCATGGAAAGGAGAAAGCATCCATATTAAAAAACCTGCAACTTTTCCTGGCTTTTCTTCCCTGAAATTCCCCCAAACTGAAGCTGTCTGCTCTTACAGAGCACAGTGTGGTTATTAACCACTGCTCTGGCACACTGGCAGCCCAAGTGAATGAAACAGCAAGAGACTGGAAAGGGAACTTGCTAATAGCGAAGAAAAGGAGAGAAAGTTATAATTAACAAAGCAGCAGAAGTTAATCACCTCACCTTTCCATGGTATCTGAAGAAAAGAGATATAAAGCAAACAAAGTAATAGAAAATCAAGCAAGAAATCTCAAGCATGGGAAACAATCACCTTTGGATGTCACGGTGCAATGAGCTGGGCACTGTGCTCCACAGGATAAATCATGCTGTAAGAACAAGCAGCCTGTGGCTCGCTGGATAAAACATGAGCTGGAGAAAACTCACTTTGTGGAGTGGCTCAGTGCAGAGCAAGGCAGGCCAATTCCCTGAAATCATGGCTTTGCTGCCCTGTCCCCCAGGCAGTGTCACTGCAATGAGCTACTCGGGACTGCTTTGAAAATAAACAGCTTTCAAGTTGTTTTGCTCTTCACTTTCAAGGCAACAGTTAAGAGTAAGTGTGAGAGTGATGAACGCAGGGTTTGGGTGCTTTAATAAGCTTTTTCTTTCATGTTGCTTGGCAATTAAATCGATGGAGATGTACATGTGTTCCTGCTCTGCCTGGGGTATCACTCAGTCCATCTGAACTCTGCCCTGCAGCTCTGTTTTTCCCAACATGAGAGTAGTTTTTAGGCAAAGAAACTAAACCTCTTTCCTCAGGGTTGATTTGATCTTGTGGGTTTGTTGCTGCTCTTTAAATAAATTTAAATAAGCCCACATCATTTGCACATAAGCCGTGCACAAACACAAGTGTGCCAGCAGAAGTTCCTGTGGGGATGTGGAAGCTCATCCCACTGCCAGCCAGGATTGCCATGTCACAGACATCTTTTCATAAAAATCCTTTCTTCAGGATTTTCCCTTCTGGGAAGCTGAAGCCCCAGAAAAAGAATGTAAACCATAGTTATCTGCTGCTGTAGGATGTAACAAGTAGATCTGTGATTGGTCTCCTGTGGATGTTTGGATTTACTGAGTACTCACAGCAGAGCTGGGTCTCACTCTGTGCCGAGACACAGCCCTTTGTTATTCATTCCTTTTTCCATTCTTAGCTTAGCTAGCCTTCTGAGAACTTTCTATTCTTGTAGCATAGTTATAATGTAGTATATATATAATAAAATAATAAATCAAGCCTTCTGAACATGAGGTCAACATTCTCGCCTCTCTCTTCACCCTGCGACCTTTGCAAGCCCTGTGACAATGCCACACCAGCCACACTCCTGGAGATGCTGCTGCAGGTGACAAAGCTGGAACACTTTTGGAATGTGTTTCAGTAGTAGGGCTCTCATTCTCCCCAAGCAAAGCAAAGAGAAGCTTCACTGGGGGCTGGACTTGCAATGCCTCCATGCCCTGCGATGCGCTGAGCTGCACTCCCCACGCAGCCCTGGGGACACGAAGGCACGCAGGCAGGGCTGTGCCTCTGGGCTCTGTGCGAGCTTCCCTGGAGCACAGTGCCCCATCTGTGTCCTGCTGGGCGTCAGGAAAGCGCCGCAGGCTCGGCGGGCACGGGCAGCGAGCTGCGGAAATAGCGCGGTGCGGGAGCAGGAGCTGAGCCCTGAAAGCCGCGCTGTGCAAGAGCCCAACAATGAACAAGGGCAGCCCCACAGCCCCACCTCCCTCACCGCACTCCCTGCTCCTCAGAGAGAGCAGGGTTTGCCACCGAGGCACACAGGAGGGACATTGAGCCTCGAAGGTCATCGCTGCCCAAAAAGCATCCAATAAATGCTTTTCTGTCAGGGAGGGCTGGGACAGCAGGGAACTGCCTGGCTCGTAGAGGACTTCGTGCCTCTTGCAGCGTGGAGAGCAGAAATGAAGGGAGCACAAAGTGTTTCCACATTAACCAGCCAAAGAGAGATTCCTGCTCACCAAGACTCTGGTCCTCACACAAGGCAGAATTGAGGTGCTGTGCTCATTTTTAAGGACACCACATGCAGAAGCAAAAAAAAAAAAAAAAAAGTTTTCTTCTTTACACCTTACCATAATAACAACTAATAAATAGGTGTGCAATTAAAGCATCCTCACATCAGATTCAAACTCCAGAGAGCCTTATTCAGGCTGAATTTAGGGTTTAAAACCTGGGCTTCTAGTTATTAAATTTGTCAAATAACACCGTGGTCCAGCTCACTGCCACTGCTGTGCCTTTCCAAAACTGACAGCCGAAAGCATCACCTGCAAAACCCAGCTCTGGCATCCCCTCAGTGAACAAAGCTGGTAACATCCAGCCTCACAAAACCCGGTCTGTGGGACAGAGAAACTGTGATAAAAATGAGGTTTTAGCAGCAACAAGGATTTTTAGGGGTAATAAGGATTTGTGTTACTGGAAGAATGAAGAATGAGGAATAAGAAGGGGCAGAAGAAGGATGATCCTACTGCTGTATCAATAGGGATCTCAACAGGACAAATTATTGTCCTGTAGAGATCCCTATTAAAATGAACCCCTGGCTGTTGCAGCTACAAAAAGTATATGTGGGCACAAAAAAAGGTAAAGCACCCTGAACAAAGTGAAATTCCTTATCCAGGCCTTTGATACCAACTGGAGATGGCTGAAATCAAGGAGCTGCTGAGGTTGCAGTTTGGAGAGAGAACTTCCTTTACACTCTGTGCAACCACATCTCCCTGGCAAGGCACGGGAAGATCACTAATGGGACATCACCGTTTCACCATCGCTCCCCAAACCTCCTGTAATTAGCCAAATCACGCCTTTTCTCACCCCATGGATACCTGGCAGATAAGCACACCAAAATCCACCTACAGCTGTCAAGCTGATAGCATCTGTTTTGACAGCCACGGCACAAAGGTCAGCCACAAACTTGCTTATAAAGGTCATTTTTCCAGCCCAGGGTGGAGGCAAAGGAGAGGGATTATTCTGGAAGTTCAGCAATACCTCTCTCCTGTCACAGCAGTGAACAGAACTCCCATACACAGCTCGCACCTCCCCTGCCTGAAATAATCCCTAAACCACAGGTTTTTGCGTTTCCAAGAACACCCTGCTGCACAGACTCGCTTTGTTCCGTGTGGGTTTGGGTGCATTCCTCCCCGGACAGATTGCCACTGTGTCCAAAATGCATCAAATCCACCGGAAAAGTTTATGGCAAAGTTAAGGAAAAAAAAAGCGAATCAACCAGCAGAAAGCAGCCCTAAGGACTTACGTCAAGATTTCTTCTGGTTCTGATTTAAAATCTGGAAAACGCACACACAGCCAGAGGGACCCAGCCCCGAGGAGCAGGGGAGGGCAGCTGGCAAGCGGAACGCGATGTCTGCCTGCCGTGGCTGTGATTTGCAATTCGAATTTCTCACTGAGCTGCGATTCCTTTAGCTTTGCCGCGATGCTGAGAGCCTGACGGCGGCGGTGAGCGAGCGCCTCGCCTGGCACCGGGACAGGGGACACCCAAAAAGCCACGAGCGGGGCAGGACCGGAGCTCCGGCCGTGCCTGGAGGGACCCGCGGGGCAGGTGCGGGATGCGGAGGATGCTCGGGCAGCCCAACCATCCATGCCGAGTGATGGATGGGCTGGCGAGCTCCCGAGCGGTGCCGGAACTCCCGCTGCCCGCGGATCCCAGGGCAGGACAGGGAGAGGGACCCGCGGGAACAGCCCAGCCCCGCTCCCGGCGCGTCCCTACCGTGTGCTCGCGGCTCGCCATGGTGCTGCTGCTGCTGCTGCGGTGGGCCCGGCGGGGGAAGCCCTATAAGGGCTGCGGGACACGTAGCGCGGCCCTGGGCCAGCCCCTCTCGCCCTGTGCCCGCCCCCGCCACCGCCTCCTCCGGCCCGGCCCCCGCGGGAACCGGGCAGGGCGCTCCGGCCCTCAGCCCCCGTGAGGGGCGGGCAGGGAGCTCCGGCCCTCACCCAGTTTAGGGGCGGGCAGGGAGCTGCGGCTCTCATCCCCGTGAGGAGCGGGCAGGGAGCTCCAGGCAGGAAGCTCCAGCCTGGCCCCCGCAGTAACCGGGCAGGGAGCTCCGGCCCTCACCCCCCGTGAGAGGCGGGCAGGGAGCTCCGGATCTCATCCCCGTGAGGAGCGGGCAGGGCGCTCCGGCCCTCATCCCCCGTGAGGGACGGGCAGGGAGCTCCAGGCAGGAAGCTCCAGCCTGGTCCCCGCGGTAACCGGGCAGGGAACTCTGGCTCTCAGCCCCCATGAGGAGCGGGCAGGGAGCTCTGGCCCTCATCCCCCGTGAGGGGCAGGCAGGGAGCTCCGGGCAGGAAGCTCCAGCCTGGTCCCCGCGGTAACCGGGCAGGGAGCTCCGGCTCTCAGCCCCCGTGAGGAGCGGGCAGGGAGCTCCGGCACCGTGCCTGGGAAAAGGGACCTGAAATGAAGCGCTTGGGGCTCTGCTGCCACGGCCAGGGAGGGGAGAGGGAGGAGGAACGGCAGCCCACACAACGCTACTGAGGGAAAAGCAGCTCCTGAGGAGGATGAGGATGGTAAAAGGGATGTTTAAAACAAGCGGTGCTGGAGGGTGGTCGCTGAGGGTTTAGCAAAAATACAAAATAAAGTTGAAAGGAAACACAGAGGAGCCTCCCAGCACACAAAGGGCAGAAGGTGAGGGGAAGAGAAACTCCATGACTGACAGCTCTGCCCCAAATCCTCAGTTTTCCACTGCTGGAAAAGCTCAGGTCCCTGAACTCTGCTGAAACAGAGGAAAGGAGAAGCAATACCCTGGTGGAGAGAAACCACAGTACACCCTGGGATGGCTCCTGAGCCAGGGACAGAGAAAGGAAGATCCTGGTGGGTAATTCTGCACCTGAGGGTGAACGGTGCCATCCAGCATAGCACTTGTGGTCCTGGACCACTGCCTCATGCTCCACACCCATCCATGGATCCAACCCAGGGCCACAAGGATGGCTGTGCCAACTGAGCTACCTCTCCTCTAGGAGGAGATACCTCACTTCTTGTCGTGCCTGCAAGAGCAAAGCTCCCTCCATGTCCAACATGCTGAGCCTACTTTAACTCTTCAGCACACGATCGCCAGCAGTCCATAAAATATTCCTGTTTCATCTCTGTCCTTCATTCCAGCAGAGTTTAAAATCATGGATGCCCTGAGTGAGCCCCTTGAAAGAAAAGGAAAAAGGTGTTGGGATTTTGCAACGCTCCCAGTTCTTCTGATGAACTCTTTAAACAGAAAATAGGAAACCCCAAGGGATAAATGGGGTTCCCCAAATGAGATCTTGCTGCAGGAAGAACAGGGCCCACTGTGGGAAAACAGGGACGTGAAGGAATGGGGCTGGAAGGAGGCAACAGCACCTGCTCACCCAACTCCCAAAGCCAGGCAGCTATTAGAGTGTGATCAGCTATCAGCTGGACTAATCCTCAGTGTAATTCCAGTTAAACCCATGGCATTACATTCAGGATTAACTCAGCTAAAGAATACCAGGCTTGCTTTTGAGCATCTCTCGTTCCTTGCTTTTCCTCATATTGTTTTTCTCAATTAAGGGCAGATTAAATTTCTGCCATAGAAACAACACAGCAAGGTTGGAAGAAAAGGGAAAGAAGGCTGAACACAACATCCATTGGAAAAGTCCATTCTGGTACACTTAAATTCGCATCTTTGTGAATTACCTTGCCTTTCTGAACCTTCAGGAAAGCAGAAGGGTGGAAAAGGTGCCCAACAGACCAAGGCCAGCAGGGAAAGACATTTGCTGAAGAACCAGGAGCAGCACAAAGGGGATTGTGAAGAAGAACAGGCACAAAGAGGGGCTCCTGTAACAACAGACCACTCTAAACCACCCTGGCCTGACACACAACTGGCTCTAGAGAGGGCATTTTTGAAGGAAAACATTTCTTTTTAAATTAAAAGTGAGCAGTAGAAAGGAAAGGGGAAAGAGCTAAAACTAGTATTACAATGTAACAGAAAAATTAGCATCCAGAGCATGTAACACCTCCATGTTTCCCCTAGATACCCATCAGTGAGACAGAAAGTGAGTCAACATTATCTCCATTGGTTGCATCATTCTTCACTTCCAACTTCATCAAAGTGATTTCCCTTCTAGGAATTAAACTGACTGCTCATAACCTTCCTGAGAATTCTAGCAAATATTTGGTGCATAAGAGATCTAAGGGTTTTTTAATCTATTTTTCACTTATTTTTTCCCAAGCACAATGGAAAGAATGACATGAACTTTCATTACATTAAAGCTACAATAAATAATAATAAATAAATAAATATATTTGGATATTGTCCCAAATTTTAATTTGTGTGGGGCTTTTCAAGGAAGTAACTGATGAAACAATTAGAAACTAAGTGAGAAAGAAAAAAAATCTAGTTGCTTACCTCAAGAGGCACACAAATTGTGACACTCAATTTTCATTAAAGAACTTCTTGGGTTATTGAACAAGAGCTTCAGCCTCAGCTTCTTGGGTTATTGAACAAGAGCCAGGGAAAGCAGCAGCATCCCAGCAAAGCAGGCAGGGGCTGCCCCTGGATCCCTGGAAGAGCCCAAGGCCAGGCTGGATGGAGTTTGGAGCAGCCTGGGACAGTGGAAGGTGTCCCAGGGTGGCACAGAGTGGAACTGGATGAGCTTTAAGATCCCTTTTAACTCATACCATTCAGTTTTTCTATGATTACAGGGAATATTTTTATTTTTGGGGATTCTCACTCTGTTTACAGGAGCAAACTGGGATCCCTCTCCTCACTGGGAAGGACCAAAGAAAGCCCCATGACCTGCCCTTGTGCACTGGGATTCATCATTTTCCTGCATTGTGCTGCTCTCACACCCTGATCTCAAAGAAACAATAAATCCCTAGAGAAAGAGCTCTCTCAGGAGCCCATTGTGCAAGCTGCCACACTAGCAGAGAGCACAGTCTATATATAACTCCCCCAAACAGGCCCAGCAAGCAGCTGCTTGTGAGGCATTTGCTCCATCCACCTTCCCCATTCCAAATCACCTTCTTGCTCCAAATTCCTGTCCCAGCACTACCCAAGAAATTGCCCCAAAGCACCAAAACTCAGATCAACGTTGCCAAGCTGGCCATGACCAGTGGGATATCTTCACTAACAATTTCTGCCACCTACAAGGTGGAAAGAAGAGGCCACATCCCTTGTGCTCTGTCAGCCCCAAAGTGCTGCAGCCCCTGGGCAACGCCAGGCAAGGAAAGAGCTGTGCCTGGCAGAGCTCTCCCACAGGGAAAATACAGGGGGAGCTCACTGGCTCTGAAATTGCACAACTGTGCTCTGAAATCCTTGCAGGAATTCCTTCATCTGATGACTGCTAGGTGGAAAAGCACGCCCCTACTCCCTGAATTTAAAACTACTCCACTGCTGCTGGCTCTGCTCTTGTTAATTTGCTTTCCTAGCACCAGGAACCTGCAGAGCAAGTTCAACTCTGGGGGTCCCAGTTTTTGGTGTCTCTGGGTCTTCATTGAAGGCACTGAGACAGTAGCTCATGTTCAGACTCATGTGTTTATCAGTAAAACAGTCTCACTACTGTGAGTTCAGCAGCTTTTCATTAGAAGGCACCAAATGGCAACAATCTCTTGTCCCAAGGGCTTTTAAGACTAAACTATCCAGTTAAGCGCTGACACCTGGATTATTTTCCCTTTTAACCCAATAACTGATCCCACAGAGCTGCAATGGGGACTTTTCTGCCCAATTACAAAATGCCATCAAACTCATGGAGGAGGAAGAAGCAGCATGAAGGAGAAACCCAGGATGACACCCTGTGCCCTCCATCTTGCTTCCATCCACAACACACTAAAAATCCCAAAACCTCAATTTCTCACCACGTGATGCACCTGCACTGCTCTCTGTAATCTATTGCACACTTTTGTGGGTTCTGGTCTATTCTGGAGTGTAGGAAACTTTCTCCATGAAGGTCAAAGTCAGTGCTGCCCGGGGGTCAGGGCACCCCAGAGCAGACACAGAAATATTCCCACTGCTCTGGGTTTCCACGAGTGCCTTGCTTAGTTTTACAAGTGATGGAGGCACAGTTGTTGCCTTCAGCTCCATTTCCTGTCAGATTCTCTGGCTTTGTTTTTGCAAAGTGCCAGGGGAAGCTGTCACCAAGTTCATGGAGCATCCTGCAGTCACAGGGAGTGGGGCAAATTCTGTTCATCCTGTCCCCAGTGCATGAGGTACCTTTGAAATCTGAATATTCCCCAAATGAACACACGTAAGTCCTCAGCCTGCAGAGATACCAGAGATACTGAACTGCCCCAACAAGCACTTCCAGCTTATCCAGCTCACCTTTCACCCTTTGCACAAAGGGGGTTGAATTCTGTGTGTAAGTCAAGGGTGGATCTGCAGCCCTAAAGCCTCACTTGTGAAATGTCAAATCAGAAATGAGCCATGAAAGGCAAGCACAGATTGCTGGGAGCACCAGAGATCCCAGGGTAGGGCATTACCTCCTGGAGTCAGCAATCAGCACTTTAATGACAACAGGAAACGTTTTTCCTTTCCTTGTTCCATAATTCAAACACAGGGGATCATCCCCAACTTCCAGAAAGCTGCTTGAGAAAAAAAGAGCTCCAGAAATGACAAGAAATCAGCCAGTGGCAACACCCACTGCTGGTGGGGACTGCCACAGCCAAAAGCTGAGCTCCAAACCAGTTTGCCAGGATTTCACAATGGGAGAGAGGAGCCCAAGGCAGGAGCAAGCTCTGCACCTGCCTGGTTCCTCTCACAGAGCTCACTGCAAGCAGCCCAGGCCAGGTTTTAGTGCCTCAGTGACACCAGCACTGCTGCTCCCCTGCAGA